GCCAGTTACAAGTTCTCTCAAGAGCAGTTTCTGTCAGTGCTCTCTCAGCCCCACCTTCCTCACAGGGTGCCTGTTGTGGGTGAGAGGAAGGGAAAGGAGATTGTAAGCGGCTCTGAGACTCCTTTGGGTAGTGAAGGGTGGGGTACAAAACCAACTTTTCTTCTTCTAAATATGACTTATATTCTGCTTTTCTCACTTGAGACTCAAGGGGGACTACCCTTCGTAAATGAATAAAAATCAATCAGACGATACACCCACGAAGCAATCTGTCAGGACTGGGAAGGCTGAAATTTGAAACGATGCTGACGTCTGAACAAAGCGAGAGTATTGAACACGCTCACGGGAGCCTTCCTGACCTCCTCGGGCAGCCCATTCTACATGACGGGGGCCACTACCGACTCGAGAAGGCCCTTGTCCTCACAGCTGTTGATCGTGCCTAGGCGCAGGGGGGTACCTGCAGAAGGCCCCGCTGAGGAAAGTGGTTCTGGTTGGACACAGTTCTGGTGGAGAGACAGTTGGGGCCTATAACGCCCTTCCACCAGACTTCCCCAAGCAGAAAAACACATCCCTCCCTCAAAGGAAGACGACGACCCCCCCTTCTTGAGATCCAGCCCTTACATTTACTATTCTAGGATTAAAATACCATTGACAGGGCTAAACATTTAAAGCCCTTCGCATATGTTATCTCAGTAAACTCGTAAGCAATGCTCCCTCTAAGCTGTGGAGTCTTGTGAGCAAAAATTCTACTTTGTGAGCTGCTGGCATTAAAGTTGTGAGCGAGCCATTTGGCTGCTGCGTAAATGAGTTTGCTCTGGAGCCCTCCTTCCTGAGCTAAGACAAAAATATGTGAGCTGAGGCTAAAAAACTGTGAGCTGGCTCACACTAACTCAGCTTAGAGGGGACACTGCTCGTAAGGTAAGCCGAGAAGGTCGCTGCGCTGGAGGGAAAGCGTGAGGCTGCGAAGACCCCGGCTTTTCCTAGAGATGTCGTCGAGATCAACGGTGCCCTTTTCGGCTTGTGGCTTGGTCTCCCGGCGGTGGCGCGGCACCAGCTTCCCCCTTCAACAAAGGATACGTGAGCCTGGTCGATCATGCACTTGCAGAGGGTGAAGTCGGTGTGGGGCAGGTTGGTCAAGGCTTTCAACAGGATCTGGGCGGTCACCGTGGTTTGGAAGAAGGCAGGGTTGAACTGATACCTGGACGAGGAAAGAGTCCCTCTTGGGATTTCAGACTGAAAGGGCAGGCCCAGTCCTGTACACCTTTAGTCCCAAACACCCACCACCAGTCCCGGCCACAGCGTCCGCCGCTTTACAGTAAAGCAATGGCTGGCACCCAACAAAACCTCTGCGCAAAGACCCCCCTGTGACGACCTCCTATTGGGGAGGACTGAATTTCACTTTAAATTATACTTTATGTTTATAAAACAGGTAGTTCCAGCTGCCACCAGGAATTTTATTTAATTCCAAATCCCCTTTCTGCTTCTGGTTTTGGTATTGTGACCCAGGGTCTTGGCTTTTGAGGATCTATGTGGTCCTAAGGAATAATGGATCAGGCTTCTGGGATAAACTTAAATAAAAAGGATTTATTGAAAGAACATAAGCGGCTGTTTAAACTGTAACTGCTTAAGAATTAGGTATTTGTAAGTATGTATGTCAACTGTATCACACGGGCTATTCTCTTTGTAACTTGAACTCTCTTGAAGAACTGTAGTTTCACTTTTTAGAATATCTACTGCTTTCTCTCTCTCTGATACCACACAGCACTTTCTTCATAGAACTGATTCCACACAGAACTTTCAGCTCTCGCTCTCTCTGACTCCACACGGCACTGTCAGAGCTCTCACTGACTGAACTCCAACTGAACAACATCAACTGCTTTTTTCTCCAATTGTCATTCTCCAATCTCTCATGGACACACCCACACAGAATAACTCCTCCCACACTCTGCCATCCACCAATCACAGCACACTAGTTACTATCAAACATTTAAAGGGACACACATACTCTCAAACAAGGAATCATCACCCCCCCCGTCCTTCTCTTCCATCAGAAGAAGTGATTCCAAACAACTCTTATTACAAAGATCTGTTATATTTTTAAAAGGGCTCTTAAGGGTTGAAAAAGTTGATTATTTCATAGCGTCGATATATGTTATGAATGTACTGTTGTATATATTGTTCAAAATAAAAAACACTTATTGGGGAAAAAAAAGAAGAGCCAACCGATGAGGGAGGAAGCATGAATTCGTCCACTTCCCCTTCCTTGAGAAGCCTCCAAACAGGTGGCTGTTCCTGAACGTGGGCCTTGCAGCCCCAGGAATTGTTTTTCAAGGATCGGAAGGAAGCCTGGAGCAGAGAGGAACAGGGGAAGCTCAATGCACCGAGAACATTTTGTTAGATGCGGGCCACTGTCTCCCAACTTGGGGCGGCGCTTCGATCAAACCCGTTTTACAGAGCAGCAATGGAGACGCTGATGCCCACCAGCGCTGCTGAGCCACGATTTTCCAGCACCCCCTCTTACCCCCCCCCACAAACGGTGTGATGCTCTGCTAGATAAACAGTTAATCTTGAAATCACAGACCGCTCCCTGGTTCGAATTGTTTGAGAATGACCATTTTTAGATCCTCCTACCTAGTTAGTACAGATAATCATAACCTGAGAGCGGCTTTCACATCCTTGTGTTTGGAATCAATGCCAACGGCCGTATTAGCCGGCCGCTACAGTAGAACACCTAAGGAACAGTGCTTTTGTATTTGTTGTTCTTCTGTTATCGAGGATCTTCCTCATTATATCCTTGAATGCTCAATGTATGCCCAACCTAGGTTAAAATTTCTCTCCGGGATTTTATCAGACTGGCGTTTCTACTCAGATTCTGAGAAGACTGTATTCTTGTTAGCTGATTTCGATGGCAACATATCCTATAAAATGTCTTTATATGCCTTTGCTGCAAAGAAAATACGGGCTAACGCTGTTCTTATGGGAACTAATTAACATTGATCTTAGCAGACACCTTTTGACTCAATTTTATTCTGATTGTATGGTTTTGTTATACCTTAAATTTGACTCTAACCCTTGGTTTGTAATAGCTTATGGCTAAATATAAATACATTTCTATTTCTATTCGACACAAACATGCAAACTTGTAGATATTCACTTATTTATTAAATTTTAAACCACTTTCCCCTGCCAAGGTAAAGCTCAGGGCAGTGTACAACCTAATAAATGCATACAATTCACAGTAAAACTCTTAAAAAGAGCAAAACACAGTTGGTATCACTGTAGCCCCAGCTGCTTACTTATATTTTCTGGAATCTAACAGAAAGGCATTCACACTGGCCAGAAGTTCGACTTTGCCTTCGGCAGTGTTGGAAGGAAGGTTTAAAGCAATCCCTTACCCAGTAAGGCTCTGTTCTTGCTCTCTGGGGGAAATTGACTCTATAGAACACATTTTTTAAAACTGTCCTAACTATACAAAGGTCCGATCGGAAAGTATTAGCCCACTGCTAGAAAAGATTTCCTGGGAGATCAAATAAAATCAAGCTTGATTCTCTCCTGCCTGACAGCAACCACCAGACCACTCGACAGGTGGCTAAAATTCTGTGCTCAGGTTTACAAGCATCGGAAATCCCATTCGGCAGCGTGACTTTGTCGTTATTTGGCATGATTTTGTATGCTTTTGTCGCTCTTTTTATCTTTAAAAAAAAATTCAATCCAACTATATCGCTTTTGCATTTCTTAATCAAACTGTACTGCTGGTCGCTGACTGTTGTAATAAAATGATTGATTGATTGACACAGTAGGTATCTAAAAAAATGACGCTACGAGTTTCAGCAGTGCGGTTGCCTCAAGGGCGGCGGGGAGTGAGAGTTCCGGAAGGATGTAACCAGAGGTTATTTCGGGGGGGGGGATCGCAGTTCCCCCGGGTGAGGTATGGGGGGGCACATGACGAAGACCCGCCCCCTGCTTCCGACCGCCCTGCTTCCGGCCCTCATTCAGCCAGGAGGAGGCAGGAGAAGAGGGAGGGTAAGTTGCTTCCTCCCTGCCTCTCCCCACCCCTGCCTGCCTGGGGCCAGGGAGGGCCTTTGCGGGGCTTCCTGGCGCTCCTGCCGGCCTTGCAGGTCCACCGCCGGGCCCCTCATGGGGCTCGGCAGTGGAGCTGCAAGGCCGGCGGTGGCGGCCGGGACCTTTGGGGGCGGGGTGTGTGGTCTTATGACACACTTCCGGTGATGTCAGGGGGTGTGGCCTTATGACACACTTCCGGTGATGTCAGGGGTTGTGGCATATGCTAATGAGTTATGCTAATGAGTTCCCCTAGATCTTTTTCTACGAAATGACCCCTGGATGTAACCATCGCTGTCCTCGGCCAAATGCCTGGCGGAACATCTCTGCCTACTGCAATAGTGCAAGAAACTGTAATAATAATAACTATAGTAACGCCTAAGTGTGTACAAAATTACAAAAATACAGTAACATTATTTCTTTAACAAATGTATCTAACAGATGGACGAAAATCTCCAGAGCTGATATTTCGTTTCGTGGAGACTTCTTCCTACATCTAAGATTCATAAAGAAGTATTCCTCAGAAGTCACAAACATTCCAAGTTGGCTCTCCATTCACAAAGCATTTGTTATCGTCATTTCAGATATCTATCCGACCATAGTGCAAATTCGGGCAAATCAGCCGGGCGCGGATGTTATTCAGCGGAGAGTTCCGCCGGGCTGGCGCCAGGGCAGGGATCAAAACATTTTAAAGGGACAAAAAGAAACATTCACTCACAGTTTCAACACGGCCAGGTTGGCCTCCAGGTCGTAGGCGTTCTCCTTGGCCTGCGTCTCCACATAGCGTTCCAACGTGGCCAAGTTCTCTGGGTTATACCTGAAATGCAGGAAGGGCCAGAAGGTAGTCTTGGGAAGGAGCATGGAAGATTCAGGACTGCTTCTGGTTAAGCTCTCCCAAGGGGAACCCACTTTCTTTCTTTATTTTATTCTAATTGTTTCTATTTATATTCCACCCTCCACGCAAGTGGGCTCAGGGCGGATCACAGAGCAAAATCTAAAACATATCACACAAAATCACAATACAGATCAATATAATTCACAGAACAATTAAAACAGTTTAATTGTTTGGTGTAGTGGTTAAGTGCCAGTTTGGTGTGGTGGTTAAGTGCGCGGACTCTCATCTGGGAGCACTGGGTTTGATTCCCCCACTCCCCCACTTGCACCTGGCTGGATGACCTTGGGCAAGCCGTAGTTCTCTCAGAGCTGTTCTTGAAAAAGAGCAATTTCTGTCAGAGCTCTCTCAGCCCCACCTACCTCACAGGGTGTCTGTCGTGGGGAGGGGAAGGGAAAGGAGTTTGTAAGCCGCTCTGAGACGCCTTTGGGTAGTGAAGGACGGGGTATAAATCCAATCTCTTCTTCTTCTTCTTCTAAAACCGTACAGGTTGAAAAACAGGTCACACTATTCATAGACATGAATTTCAAGTTGGTGTCATTTGGTCTCCAGGGTCTCCTCGATCTGGGCCACAGAGATGGTAAACTTCAGCCGGGGGGGGGGGGGGCCCTTTTTTGGGGAGGCCGG